TTGCAAATGAACACCCTTAAATGGTATTTTTGCAAATGTGCACATAAAAAGTGGCATTTTTGCAATTTCTCTATAAATGAAACCAAGGATACTGATATCTAAATGTTGGGGAAAAACAATAAGCACCAATGGCGCAGCGGAATAAATTTCTCCACACTTATGTGAACCTGTGAGAAAAATATAGAATACGGCAGCAGCAAATCAAAGCAGTAACGTAAATGAGATAACGAATTATTTTATGTGGAAAATCTCATCAATGTAAGGAGTAAAAACCACGGGACCGTAGTCCACTCAAAAATCTACTATATCAAATTTGCGTTACAACCACGTTCTCCCTGTTCCCAAAGAACAGATCCAGAGACTAAGACTCTAAAGAGCAATCTCCAACACAAGAAACACCACAAAAGAGCAATACAAGAGCCTAGAAACAAGCAGTCCCAAACGACCCTAAATTCACTAGGATTTCGGTCACCAAATCAGATCTCCACCGTACAAATCCTAGATAAACAAGTCAGAAATATCTCTGCCAAGTTTCAGCTCAATCCAAGAAGAATTCATCGTCGGATTTCCCAAACACTCAAGACAATACAGTCTGAAATCTGAATTCACAACAGCAGCAAACAGCCTCGCTAAACCCCAGATCTGCGACGAACCAACCGTTGAAATACAATCTCCACCGTTGAATATCAAGACCACTGAGTCACGAAGCTAACCCAAAAATTTCAGCCAAGTCGGAGCACTTTTAACACCTCTAAACGTTCTCTTGAACAAATCCTGACGAAACTATTTTTCTCTTTCTTAGCCTACGAAAATTGCCTCTCTTCAATTAGTTTCTCCTTACACCAAAATTAGGTTTGGAGTCGTATATACTCCCTCATAATCTTTAGCCCAATAACAATCTCATGAATCATAATAGGCCAAAGTTTGGTTTTTCTTAAACCAAACCTAAATTGGTTTCTTCACTAGGAGAAAAACCAACGCTAAAACATATCCAACAAACTATCATAGTGCTCAGAAGTTGGTTGTAGGTCTATTTCGATGCTCGCTTGGACATATGTTGAAAGTGTTGAAAGTATCTTACAAAGACATTACATCTCGCACTTTTCCGTAATTTTGATGATGTTCTAAATTTAGTTTTTTTTTTTGTTAGGAAGAGAACTTTTGTAATAGTACTCTATATTCTACTATATAAAATGTTTAACGATTATTGTTTTGTTTGATTTTATAAGATGTTTTACTAATTTTTATATAAATTTTAACGATGTTTAATGTTTTTAATCTCTTAAGTTCTACAATCTTTTACTGTTAAATTATATTTTAACTAATTATTAAATAATATTTTGTTTATTATTTCTTTTTCATAATTATCATTCACTCAACTAAAATACCTTATAAAAAAAGAAAGAAAATAGCCAAATGAACCATGTAAAAATTTATTAAAGTAATAAGACAAAATTCATCTAATCGGTTTTTTTTTTTTTTTGGTAATTCACTTATATCCTATCATAATTGTTCTTTTTAATGCTAATATGTTCTGAGCCTAGATCCATATACGTTCCTTATAAATTCTATTTTTAATTTTTTTTTGTTAAGAAAAGAAAATGTTTATAAATTCTATTTTTCCCGTTAAGACTTTTGGATGAGTCCGTATATAAATTGAATCATGTACAACTTTGTCAAACTAATAAAACGGGATTTCCTAATTATATTTTCTATAGTTTTAATTCTTTAAAGTTTGACATCAACTGTTTAAGATACTTTGGGAACAAAATCCACTTACGAAGGCCTATTAATTTCTTTTTTTTTTTCTCGCAACACCAATGAACAGTTTTGGAATCTTATTCTAATAATGCTATTAAACTTGTCGAGCCATTATAAAATTCTATAAATTAAAATGGCTTAATATATATGTTCAAGTAATGCATAGTCAAAAAGGAATTACAGAGTTCCGTTGGACCGTCGTTATCTAAAAAGAACACAACATTTTAGCGTGATAGCCAAATACCTTATGATATTATGTTTGTTAAGAATTTAAAAGTTCTTCCGTTCGCGTTTTATCATTTTTTTTTGTCAACTCATGAATTTTATTAACTAAAATTCGGAACTACAAAGATAAGAGGGAAGAACATCCTCTTTGATTGAAGCAACACAATAATTTATAATAAGTAAAACTGATAATTCTTGGTAGAAAATTGGCAGCGGACTAGAGCCAAAACTCGAATGCGTTGGTAGAAACTC